ATAATTCAAGCCGATCAAACAACGATAATGAAACAAATAGACCGGGCTTAAAAGCCTCCACAGACAGCTCCCAGTCTGAAGAAAACAACCAGGACAGTTCACCCGATTCAAATTCGACTTCGAATACTAACAGAAGGCCTAATTATGGCGTCATGTACTTCAACCATGCAGGGGAGGCAACTTTCACAAGAGACAATGTGTGTACGACGCAAACAGAAGGAGGCACAACCGTTATCAATACGGCCCATTACTCGTCGAATTTTAATCCGTATTCTTACGAAAAACCTCTGCGAAAACGTAATATAAAATTCATGCTGGCCATATCGGTGATCGCCATCATTTTCTTCTTCCCAACTGGAATCTGCGCTTATCACTACGCGATGAAGGCGGACAAGGAATTCGATGTAGGAATCGAACGCGGGGACATCGATCTCGCCCGCAAGTATGCCAAGAAGAGCGAGAAATTTATAATATTCTCTTTCTTTTCCGCTTTTCTCGTTGCTGTCATAGCGTTAGCGGTTTACGAACGGTTCCAGATGAGTCCGGAAGAATTGAGAAAACATAGCTATCACCACATGATTGCCGGCTAATCAACTTATTAACGCCATTTATATTTTAACTTTCTATTTTTTTTTTTTTTTAAGTCTTTTTTTTTTTTGGAGGAAATATTTTAATAGCTAACAATAAAAATGAAATAAAAATATATTTTGGGATGGGAGACAACTTTTACTAACCGAAAAGCTGTTTCAACCAAACAGTAATATTTTGTCATCAGCGAGATAATTCTTAAAATACGCAACTTATAAATATACTAAAAAATTAAGAACAAAAAAAAATAAATAAATAATAAAAATACGCTCGTTAAACTCCGGTATTTCCCGGTCACGAAGACACTTTTTTTATACTAAAATAAACTTTTAAAATTTAGCTTTCACTTTTTTTAAAAATTCTAACCGTTAAGTTCGTTTGTGTTTAATTTCTAAACAGTGATCTGAATATTATACATCCCTGGGCCTACGATTGGAAAATCATTATTATACATCACTGGAGTAAGGGGGTTACTTGTCAATGTACGTGATGTAATAGTTAAACACACTGTTGTTGTGTTAGAGTTGTGAGTTCGATCTTCACTGGGTGCCCACACTTGTGGCCACGTCTAAGCTACGCTTTGTAAATCATTTTGAACTCTTGAATGTGTTGTAATGGTTAGAAGGCTTGTCTCGCTGGGCCTTGTATTGGGTGAACACACAGTAACAAAAAAAAATGCATTTGTAAGTTTTCAAATTTCAAATAAAAATAAGTTCCATTTTATTTTCAGTAAAAAAAAAAAAAAACTGCTTATCATTCACACAAATATTCTGACTAAATCCAAAAGCTCGTTGTCAGATGTATTCAGAAAGCTACTTGAGTAAACCATGGAAATTTGACTTGCTATTTGCTAAATATTAAATAAAAACGTTTTGTAAATGAGTTCAGACGTCCCCGGTGGTTAATTATAAAGAAAATCCTTTGATATTTCTTTACCTAAAAATTTAGTGCGATAAATCAGAGGTGCGTCTTGGAAGCTGGGAAATACGCTATTTACATATTCTTTTCTTTTTTAGCAGTTATTATTATTATTATTATTATTATTATTAAAATTTATATTTTTTAAATTTCATTCTTTACTTTCCCTTGACTATCTTACTTTTCCATTAACCTGTTGACTACCTTAAACAATTTGTTTTAAAACATTTTAATTAATTGTTAATAAATGAGGATAAACCCTTTTTCAGCCGTACACAGTTTTTTTGGATCACATTCACTTGTAGAAAAAGGTCAGCAGGGAATTAGTAATCACTCGTTCCTAGTCTCTGTGACTGGTTAGTGGCACTCGTTATTAGAACTTCACTAAAAAGAAATAAAGTTGTAAGAAACTAACGACCAACTTAGTGGCCACTAAACTGTTGTTACTTGGTGAACAAAAACTAAGTATTGAGAAAATAGACAAAGAGTGAAACAAAATAAGATAGAAATATTTGTTCTATCAGGAAGGTCTTCTGTATAGAGAAAATTTCAAGGAATGTCCTTAAGAGTCTGTACATAATGAGGAAAAAATTGAAGTTACTCTGCTGGTGAATTAGCGAGCGCGTTAGATGTACTACATGTTGCGTCTATTGCATGTAGCTTACTAACCTTTTGCGTCCTGACCCGATGTCAATACGAAGTGAAAAAAAACTATCCTCTAAGGCGATGGTTCCTATATGGTGCAGTGCTCCCAAAAGGCGAGGCGGAAGTGGATAGCAGGTGAGGCGGAAGAGGGTAGCAGGTGAGGTGAAAGGCGAAATAATTAAAAGACAATCAAAGATTTAGAAGCAGTTTCAAAAAATTCATATGCCAGGAAATAAATACGATTTCAAAATTTAAATTATTATTATTATTATGGATGACTTGTAATTGCACGCATGATACTCAGTATAAATACTTATAAATAATCATTGACCGATTTTATCAGTGTGATATTTTTGCATTATATCAAATATAGTAACTAGGCTCCGCAAATTGGAGTAGAGAGTTATCAATGATTATGTTTTGACTTCGAACACGCAGTTATCTCCCTTTAACCCTCTGTTTTTGTTTTTTTTAGGGGGGATTTTTTTTTGGGGGGGGAGGGTTCTTTAAATGTACTTTTTATCACATAAAATTTGGCGAGGCGCGTGCAAATTTTATTTTCGAAAATGAGGTCCAGATAAAAAAAAAAGTTTGGGAACTATTTCTCTAAGGTCTACAGCGCGCATGCTCCCCGTTATCTTTTGTTTTGTTTTGTTTTTTTTTTTTTTTGTTTTTTTTACGGATCTCTAAAACTAACATGGAGTTACTTCCGCTAATAAAGTCTTTTTTCCCCTGTATCTGGCAAAAGGGTTTAACATCTGTTACAAAGTAAATATCAATTGGTACAAAGGGCTCTTGGCGAAACTTGTCCACTTTGTCCTTCTAAAATCAGAATTTCTGGTATCACTAAGCTTTTATAATAACGACTGGAGATGAATGAAAATTTTTAATTTATATCTCTTATGTTTGATTGAAAAGGGAAAACAAATTACCGCTTGTAATGAACCCCACTCGCCAGCCAGCCATAATATTCATTTTCCATACTCAAAATACATTTAAAAATACCTGAATCTTTCAGCATTTATCGCAGACATCAGAGTATATAACTCAACCTGAATCTCGCTATGAACATTTTGCCAGTGATTATATTGGCCTCTTCAGATGATCCTAGCGTGCATAGAAATTATTCGGACTATTGTCCTCATCTTTGTTGCCATATTTACCACAACGTTTCAGCCTTTGTACGATCCGGCCTTCTTCAGGTGGTTGGAATGTCGAACTGAACCCTTTGTTTCGCACGCTGTAGTAGACTGTTCTAGTTCCACGTGCCATGTCTAATGGATGTCAGTTATCAGTTATCTCCTGTTAATTCCCCTCTCCAAGTTCTCCACTGCATTAACCAGGTATTGAACTCACAACTCTTTATCCACAGTTAGATCCAGTGACAGGACCCAAATAAAATAGTAATGTTTGTTTTCATATTCTTTCACACTCAGGTAACCCCCTTGTGTTTTAGTGTCTTTACTGCCTTGCATGGGGTGAAATGATTAAAAAATACATTTATTTATTATTTACTCAATGAGTAGTAACTGGTGGCTTACACTGAAAAAATTAAGTAACAGTGTCTCATTCAATAGTCAACAAGTTTTACTCAGTAGTCAATAATTCTCACTCAATACTCAATAAGTCTCACTCAATACTCAATAAGTCTCACTCAGTAGTCAATAAGTCTCACTCGGTAGTCAATAAGTCTCACTCAATACTCAATAAGTCTCACTCAATAGTCAATAAGTCTCACTCAATAGTCAATAAGTCAATAGTCAATAAGTCTCATTCTTTAAATTATCTTGTTAAAAGTTACGAGTCACTGCGTGACATCTAAAACGGATGACATAGCTACCTGGAAACAAAGTTGTTGTTTTTTTTATTTTTTTTTTCAATTACAAGGTGAAAAATGTTTGCGACGCCAGCAACCGTCTCTAATTTCCGTGCCATATTTGTTTACAAGAGAATAATCATTCAGTTCATGAAGCATTTATTTACAGCAACAAAAATGGACAAACAATAGTTTTATAAATTAGGCCACCACACTTATTTTTACTTTATTACGTTTAAAACTCAAGGACACAAAGGGGTCATTACGTTTTTGTTTTTTTTCGTTTTTTGTTTTTTTTTTTTTTTAGTGGGAGGGTGCCGCAGGTCAAAAGGAATAGAGTATTGTGAATAAGAAGGGTATCAACTTCCTAACTAAGGGACCGCGAACCCTGCAGACAAGTTCCCAACTAGAGTTACGGACCCCCAAAGCTAAATTGAACCGATTTGGTATTTCTGAGCGATAGAAATGGTGAAAGCGAGAGAGGGCGGGTGAGCGGGAACGAAAAAGCATTCAAGATTTTGCACATATTCCTGCCGTTCATATATCTTCTTGTTTTTTGTAATGCAAACATTTATGCGTAATTTTTAAACAGATACATCGATTGCCAAAATACGAGGCAAAAACGTACCCACCACCATCAATCAAGTTATCTCCCCTTCCTTAGAGAAGGAACGAGAACAAAAGTGGCTGACCTTAAAATTGATTGAATAACTTTTTGGCACTTGGTGGATATGTCTAGCTTCAATGTTGCTACTGTTAATAAGTATGAAACGAACAAAGGACAAATTTATTCAATTTTGAGGAAAAGAAAAATTCGGTCACGAAAATGCTTCGCAGCGGGCCACAGGTCCACAGGATTGAATACTAAGATTTGACCACGTGCCAATAATATGTCTCTGGACATTTTGCATAAATTTTACATTTTTAGAGCTGAACATAATCAACAGAGAGAGTAACAACAAATGGCTAGTACAAAGTTGCTCTTATAAGCTACCTTATTCTATTTACATGTCAGTACTTCGTTTCTATTAGCTTACGGTCACATCGCATCGAAATACCGGTTCCCAGACGATCACCGAAGTTAAGCAACGTTGAAATTGGCCAATACCTAGATGGGTGACCGCTTGGGAATACCAGGTGATGTAAGCTTGGATGTGCGGGTGATGTAATGGATGATGGCTAGGAATCGTTAATCAGAGAGCCGGGTTTCAATCCCAGTTGTGTTATTTATATTCACTTATGCGCAAATACCATTGGGAAAAGGTATGAATCCACCTCTTCTACCCCAGCTATGGGTTAATTAGTATTAATTATTATCCCCCAAAAAGAAAACAAATGATCCTTATAATTTAAAAATATGTTCTAGCTTTAAATAACTTGAAAAGGGTTGATGAGCCGTAAAAAACTAATCCTTTTTAATTATTAGATCTCGAAGCGTTGTACTGACCAATCAGTTTTACAGGGTTCAACGGCATAAGAATCGGGATACCTACCTCCACTTCTTGGTGATTACACATTTATGAAAAACAAATGTTCAAGAAGAAATTCAATTTCTCTGAAATGATTTGACCCATTGGAAGTTATTTATTCTCCCCAACTGTGGGTTAATTAGTAATACATATCACTAAATCATAATTATTCCCCCCGCAAAAAAATTCTTACAATCTAAAAATGTTTTCTGGTTTTAAATAACCTGAAAAGGTGATAAGCCGTAAAAAACGAATCAATCAATCAATCAATTTGTTTCAGTTATTAGATCTCGAAGCGTTGTACTGACCAACAGATTTTATTGGGTATAAGAATCATGATAATCCTTATGTCCCTGAACCCCGTAAAATCGGTTGGTCAGTCAGTCACCGTGGTGCTAATACGTTTACGAAAATACATGCTGAAGAAGAAAGCAAAGTTCTATGAAACAATTCAACACATTGAAAATAATTTTAATGAGGTCCCAGGAAGAAAAAAAAGCGGTTCGGTAATTTCAACAATTTTTTCTCTACTTAATTAGACAGGTTCACTCATAAAAAAATAAAGAACATTTTTAGGAAATAATTTTTTTTGGACTTTCCTCAGAATCGAAAAATATTGATTTTTTTCCCATCATTATAGAAGGGGGTCTTGTTCGTTATAACGATAGAGTGAAAAATCGAACCCTGACTTTTTACAGAGTTATCGGGACTAGCTGTTCTGCGGAGGAAAACAGATATTTTTTAATAAAAATATTTATTCTAAATAAAGAACAAACGGTTACATTTTTTAATTAAAGAACAAAAATTTAAATAAATTAATAAAAGTAAATAACTGGTTCTTCTTCATCTAAAATAAATAATTATTATCGCCCAACGTTTGTGTATTTATTTCTAAAAAAATAGCCACCAAAAAAGTTTTGTTTGACAAAAAAGTTTTTAAACAGTTTTAAAAATTCAGAAAATTTTTAAAATATGCCGATATCAATGATGTATGTAATCTCAGTTTCAAATTTGACATTTATAAATAGCAGCTAAATTTATAAAACACAGTAGTAAAATGTCTGAAATTATACAAAAATTAATATTTTTCTATTCTAAAAAATATGTTGACTCCAGAAAGGTCTAAGAATGCTCATCTATAAGAATTATTCGCTGAATTTTTTTTTTTTTCCTATTTTTTACGAGCGGACCCGTTCTTTTTTTTTTTTTTGGCCACTTACATTTCATTTTTACACAATAATAATTATTGCTCAAGTTGCTTAAATTTTTAATTTCTTACTCTTGAATCTAAAAAATAAAAAAGACATTTCAATCATTGAAATTCAATGTAACTAAACAAGTAAAGTTGGCAAAATTCTTGAATATCGAATTTTGTGTCAATTTTGCTGACTCAAAAACAATATTTTTAACGAAAATTTCGGACGTGCTAGGAATGATTAAAAAATATAAAAAAAAATAATAATAAATACTGTGATCTGACATTTTAGACAATAAAAATTATTTTCATCAAGTTTAAGGCCCTTTTTAGCTTTTAGTCTTAATTTTTATTCATTTCTATACAGCATGTCTTTTTTTAGCGATCTCATGCAGGTCCTTCCGTATAAGGTATTTTCTAATTATTTTTTATTAATTTTTATCCTTTTTTTATTGCTTGATTTATTCAAATTTGAGTAAGGTTGCTTATAAACAAAAATTACGTAGATTATTATCATAAAGAAATGAATTTGATTGCATCTTGATTCAAGATGCATTTGAATGAATTTGATGAATTTGATTGCATCTTGATTCATTGAATCTTACACTAATCAGGTAGAGAATGGATTTCTTTCTTTCATTCAATAAAACTAAAATATATGAGACAAGAAGGCGGTGGTCATTGTGGAGCTTAATAACTAAAATAAACTATAGATATTTATTTTTAGCTTAGTCTGGCAAAAGATACAAGAAGAGTATTGAGACCAGTACGCAGCAGCCTAAAGTCGCTTTACGCCTTGGCGAAAAGCCAAGTTTAAAATAATCTATAATAACGGACAGACATAATTTTCAATAAAATCAATACAATTATTCTGCCTTTATTCTTTAATAGTGACATATCTTTTTTTATGCTGAAGTAAAATATTTGGGCAAGAAATCAAATAAACATTTTTTTTTATTATCTTAAAAATATCTGCAAACATCAACAATTCGGCGAAGTTTAATTAAATCATATCAGAAGAAAAAATGATGAGTCAAAAGGATGTTTATTCCCTTAACACTGTTATTACTGTACACTGTTGTAATATTTAAAGAAAACAGGAGACACTTGTATAGGTTTCAAGGGTGGGAGGCCAGGTTTTATTGTGGATCTGGGTGTGTGCCCTAGACTAAGGGAAATAACTCTTAAGGGCTTATTATTATTACATACACTGCTTCGGTAATTTTTTTATTGCTTTAAAAATTTATTTTTAGAATTTAATTAAAACTTAAACATATTAAACTGGATTCACATATTATCTTTTTCCTCGGGAATTGAAAACAAACATTAAATACTATTTATTTATTGTTTATGTACAAGAATAATTTTAGATTTACAAGATTATAAAAAATATGTAAACCAAATACAATGCAATATTTATTATTTACCATTTTATAAAGAAATAACTATTAAGACCGTTTATAAAAACATCTATGAACAAAAAAATTTAAAAATGCATATAACAACGGCCAACTGCAATTACAAATTTTGAAAAAAAAGGGATTTTATGGGCATTTCTTTCATTTTTTCACTAAAATAAATCTAGTTACATATGTTTGTTTATTTTTTTATTATTTATTTATTTTTCATCATTTCACCCCAAGCAAGGTAACAGAGCCACTAACACGCAGGAATACTAATTGTAAAAGAATACAAGAACAAAACATTATTAAAGAGCGAGACCAAAAAAAGAAGAGAATTTCTTTTAACAGAGGATGGAAGATAACGAGTGGCAATGCATTTTTAAAAAATTTGAAGGTCAAACTTGACTGGGAAACAAAAAGTCGGAAGAGAGTTCTACATGCGAGAAGTGAAAGAAAAGAAATTGTTATCATAGAACTTGTCGGAGTTACCTCCTCCTTAATTTCCTAATTTTGAAACCGCTACTTGGGGACTCTCTCAACTGACTTGGCCAGACCTCGTTTTATACTCTTTTCTTCTCACTTTTCAGCTGATATACCACGATGTAAATCTCTAGTGAAGATTTGCGTCTTCCCCTTTGTGGGGGTGGGGCTATGCGTTTCCTTCGGGAAACACGCATGAACATTACACACACACGTACGTACGAACATTCACTTACACATATTTTGACCACAAACTTTCCACGTTCATTCATACACACTAATTATCGTCATTGTCAGTCGTAACCCTTATTGTATGTTAATACACACATACCTGTTTGTATATATATATATATATATATATATATATATATATATATACAGGTCTTTGTTGTTTTCTTCACACATTTCCTTTCGTATTTCCTTAGCTGGACTTGTACATACTCCGATCCGCCATGTTTGCAGTGGGCTATTTCAGGAGACACACGTGTTTGTCACACAACGCGTACAAACGGCCCGTTAGAGAACTTACGGTTACATCTAGCCCTTTTCACTGTAAAATGATGAGATCTTGCCACCAATCTAGTAATGCGCTTAAATTTATAAGTAACACAAAGGAAAGTAATATTTATTTTGATTTAATACAAAAATGTGGCACAAGGGCAAAAAGGGGAATAGAGAAAGGCTGGTCTTCAATCTATCTTATCTTAAACTTAGCTAGCCTCAATTACTGACCCAAACATACCTTAGTACTCCTTACACCAAAACAAAACATTATTACTTCCCATTCTTACTACAGCTGTTGCGGGTCGGTGTGTACACGTTATGAGATGAACACGTGTGCCTCTCCTGAAAACGGCCCACAACAAAACATGGCGGACTCGGGTGTATGAGTCGACCATAAAGAAATATAACGAAACAACAAGAATATGTACAGACAAATAATAATGTATTAAACAACAAACAGTTTACAAAATGACAACGATAATAATGTGTGTATAAAAAATTAATGTGGAGAGTTTGTGTTTCAAAGTATGCGTGACTGAATGTACGTGTGTGTGTATATGTGTGTAATGTTCATGCGTGTCCCACAAGAGAGAACGCTTTCTTTTGCGAGAACTTTACATTTTTGTTGTGTCCGTGGAAAAGTGAGAGGAGAAAGAGAACAATACAGGATCTTGCAAAGCATATATAGTATTTGAGAGCGCCCCCTAGTAACAGTTTGTAAAAGGTGTGTAAATGTATATTTATATCTGTATATATATATATATATATATATACTCCTGTGTGTTTCTTGTTATCAGGAGAAAAATAATAATCACGTCGAGCATCACCAATCTGTTGCGGGTCGGTGTGTACGCTTTGTGAGATGAACACATGTGAGCCTCCTGAAAACAGCCGCCATAATGTCTCAAGTCTCTATGTAGCCCTAAATAGTTCCTATATATATTGTACAAATTAGTCGGTGAGGTGGAGAAGAAAAATAACAACATTAAAAAAACACAGAGGAAAGTTCGTTAGAACAATTACAATGAAAGTATTTATAGAGAAGACATACGGAAGCTGTCGGTGGGAAAGTAATTGAAGACGAGCTACCGGTAAA